GTCTAACATGTGTCAGTTGGGTAAACCCTCAGGAGAATTGTGAAAGAAGGTACCTGGTCACTTGTTCATTCTGCATCTCTCTCCTTATCGCCCCCACCCTAACCTTATCCCGTGTCTACTTGCTGCTCTTTAACTGCTCAAAGCCCCACCAGAGCAATCAGATCTACTGAGATCTCTCCCCTCCTTGTAATACCTATCCTTCCAAGCCATGTATTCCTCTTTTCTTCCACACCTAAACCCCATCTTAAACTAATCTTTAGGTAGCAAGTAAGAGGGAAAAAAACAGCACATTCATACTAAAGTGTAAATGACTAATAGGGATACTTAGCAAGCCATCTCTTCCAAAGGGGAGTTCAGTTTTTATTGGCCAAAAAAAAACCCCAAACAATTTCTATTATTTCCTCAAATAACAGCACAGTTTAGTCTTTTCTACATATATATGGTTTAGGAATAGCAGCAGCATTTTAAGTGGGAATGGTAGATAGGACAACATTAAGAAACGCTGTTGTTGAGTTTGAGGAGAAGCTTCCAGGACGCTGGTGAAGGGGAAGAGGCTAAGGCTAAGGCAGAATCTGGACAGGGAAGGTTTTGGTTCCTTTAGCTTCGTTTTCTATTCCTTATTTTTATGCTGACTGGGTCTCTTTCTCCTTCCTTGTCAACAAACTGCTTCAGTCCTTGACATTATTTATTTATTTTGTTCCTGCTGACAAGCTGGAGGCTGAGTTTTGTGCTCACGATGAAAATGTTCCTTTAGGCTCTTTTCTCTGAACTTTCTAACCAATGCAGAGCAAATAGGTACTGTGCTGTATGCAAATATAGGCATATTTGTCCGTGTAGGCCAAAGGAGGGGAGGCATTTTGCAACATGCCTTTAGAACAGAAACAAACTTTTGAGATAGAACATTTTATAGCCCCGTGAAAATAAGCTAAACTTTTTGGAAACAAAAAGGACAGAGGAATACTTATCTATACAATAAATTGGGGTGGTGGGGAGAGAGAAGACACACAAAGCAAAAAACGTGACTAATGCTTCAACAGTGAGCTCACCTCAAGTATTTCATGAATTTCACATGACCCACCCACTTTTTCTCGGTACCTCTCAAGATTACCATATCAGCAGCAATAATACCCTGTTGTTCCCAGCACCAGATTAACATATCAACGTAGCGCTGGCATTCCTGAATGTAAAATATTGTACTGTTTCCCTTGTTTGTGGTTTCTATAAGAAGGTTAATTTTTGTTCCCTTACCCTCCTCTCTTAATCTCATGCCACCCCCCTACCTCTCTTCAATCAGTGGTTTGTTTTCTTCTTTGAATAGTTGTCCTCCTTTCTTTTCTCAGTCTCTGTGTCAAAATTTGAACTATTCACAAATTCACTGTACAACCATGCTACATTTTAAAATCTTTATTACTCAGCCACAGATGATCAAGTCTTTGAAAAGACAAGCCAGGGAGAGAGAAAAGTAATAGCTGGTCAACTCGGGGATACCTTCTTCCCCAAATATACGGTGTGTGCTAAGGTGAGTCAGAAGTTACCATGGTAGATTTCATGGCCACCTTTGTTTCTTTCTTGGTAGGATTTGTTTTTTCATTATTGCTATTTCTAGATTGGAGATGGTTCTAGCAAAAATTTCCATGCCAGAATTGAATCAAACAATTTTTCATTTCTAATGAAAGTTTGGAAAGGGCTGCATGTATAGTTTTTACATTCTTACATTCTTATGTGTCAAACTTAAGGGAGAACCAGCTGGAGCCTAACAAGCTATTTTAATGAGCTTCCTTTCTCTCTGATGTTCCCCAGGGGATATGTGCCAAGCAGACCCATGTGGCCCAGGGAGTAACATGATCATCTTGGCTCTGTTTAGACACCTGTGCTCTTTTAGCCTAGTGGTAAAGGGAACAGAAGAGAGAAGGATGAGGGCTTGGAAGGCATGCAGACCTAGTGGGAGTGGGTGTGTGCCATGCTGCTTAGGAATTCACTCCAGAAGCTCCACAGCAGCAGCGGAGGCTTGATGCATCGCAGGGCAACAGTGCCTCTGTGTGGGGCGTCTGAGAGTATATGAAATGTGTCTGTGTGCGTGTTAGTGAGGGAGGAGGGGGGAATAGGGAGGAGAAAATTATATGCATTTTTAAAGGGAATTGCATGCCTTGGAGGTTTTTTTTGAGAAGGCAACATAGGAAGGAAAGATTGAAAACCATGAATGTAAAGTATGCCCAGGACCCTGAGAGCATATTCTTCTTCTAAACTTCCTCCCACTCCTTAAGACACACACACACACACACACACACACACACACACACACACACACACGCACAGAGAGAGAGAAAATACATTTGCTGTGTTCACTTTTCCTTTTCTAGGAATCAGTCTGATTGCTTGGCTCTCCCTACCCACTCTGAACAACTGAGCACATAGATATTAAACTTGATCTGTATTATTTTTCACTGGATGCCTGGTTTAGTGATTGTTCATAGTCTCTTGTATGTGTGAATTTCTCCTTCCTGGATTATAAAGTCCTTGAAGATTTATACTAAGAGAAGCTAATACTCCCTCTTGTTCTCTCTTATCTCTTTGTTACCAATTATGGGTATTTTTCTGCAAATGTTTAACATATGACTACACAATACTTCTTCCTAAGATTTTCTTCCATTTACAAAGTTCTATTTTATGATGCGATTGAGGTTTATATTTTATAAATTAAATTTTTAAAGAAATAAAGTACTTGGACACTTTCTAAGGTGAATGTGTCTAGAGTTTTTTTTTAAATTTAATTCCTATTTTAATTGTGTAATATTTCAAATGTACAGAAAAACAAAGAGAATAGTACAACATGCATTCCACCACCAGATTTAACATATTTGCTTCAACTCTTTAAAAGTTAAATATACAGCTAACCGCCTAAGACCCGCCCCATCCTATTCCCCTCCCTCCCTAGAGAAAAACTACTCTCCTTAAACTGATGTACATAATCTCTCTGTAAGTTTTTAGATTTCTACTTCATGGTTCAAAAGATCTTAGTCCTCCCTCTGGAGGGGCTGGCATTGGGTCTGTAGCTGCTTAAACACAGCAAGCATGGCCATCCGTGGTAGCACAGAGTAGATAAGCAGAAGGCCGGTACACTTCTGACAGCTGGAATGCAGGAAGAGAGAGTGGCAGAGGATAAAACCGAAAGAAAGACAGTTCCACCCCAAAGAAGAAGGCTTAGCAGTGGCAAGGGGGTACCTGGGGAGGCAGACTGAAGCCATGCTGAATACAAGATGAGGAGTCTGGAAGGAGGTGGAAAGTGACTCTTGGAAGTGCTGAACGAAAGGGGTATTAAATGGGGAAGAGGAAGAACGCCTGTGAGCACAGACTTTTGCTCTCTTGATCCCCAGAGAGGATATGGCTAGGTGACTCTCAGACTGCCAGGAATGCAGTTTGGGGGTTGGGGGCGCACCCCTGGTTGGACCCAACAGCCACAACCCCAGCATGCCAGACTTGTTACCAACCGCATGACCTGCTCAGGCTGCATGTACTTGGAAGAACTGACCTGCTGTAGTGCCTCTGAAGCGTTACACAGGTCAGACAGAGATGATTCAACCTGTCTAGTATTACTCTTCCTCAATTTGGAGTAGCCAGAAAAAATAGAACACCCAGTTAAATTTGATTTTCAGATAGCCAATGCATTTTTTTGGTAAATGTGTGTCTCAAATATTGCACAGGACATCCATATATTACAAAAAAAAAGGTATTTGTTTATCTGAAATTCAAATGTAAGTGCATGTCCTATATATTTATTGTTAAATCTGAGAACTCTACTTCAGTTGAATTTTGAAAGGATTTAGCAAAGCACTTCAGGAGTCTTTAAAAAGGAATAAGTCAAAGTGCTCTCCAGAGTAACATTAACGAACACACAACCTTTGTCACATTCTCAATGGCCTAACAGGCTAAAACACAAAAACAAGCTCACTAACTATTAAATCAGGAGGACCCAAAGACCCTCTTAGTTATTTTTAATGGCTTCATTGAGATATAATTCACACACCATAAAATGTACTCACTTACTATGTATGATTCAGTGGGTTTTAGTATATTTACAGAGTTGTGCAGCCATCACCAAATCAATTTGAAAGCTTTCATCACCTTAAAAAGAAACCCAGTCCCCATTAACAACCACTCTCCATTCCCAGCACCCCTTCCTCCCCACAGGTTCACAGCCCTAGCCACTGGCAAGCACTCTGTCAACTTTTTGTTTCTTTAAACAGACCTATTTCATTATAAATGGAATCTACAATATGTGGCCTTTTGTGTCTGGCTTCTTTCGTAGCATGTTTTCGAGGCTCATCTACATTGCAGCATGTATCAGCACTTCATTCCTTTATATGGTCTAATAATATTCCTAATAATATACCACAATTGGCCTATTCGCTCATAATGGGCACTTGGGTTGTTTCCACTTTCCATTATGAATAAAGCTTCCAGGACAGAACATTAGTGTACAAGTTTTCACATGGACATACGTTCCCATTTTTTCCAGAAATCATTGGCCATATGTTAACTCTATGTCTAATATGTGAGGAACTGCTAAATTGTTTCCCAAAAGCAGATGCACCATTTTATATTCTTGGGGTTTTGTTTGTTTTTTAAGAAGGAACCTTCAGGGTTTTCTGTGTCCCTGAGGAGGGCCTACGCCCAGGGCCCCTCCTTCGGGCTGCCTCCGCTGGGGCCCGAAGGTCCTACTCCTCCAGCCCAGGACGCTGGAACCCAACGGTCAAAACCCGCAAAGAGAGCGCACTGTGGGAAACTGACGTTCGCCTCCCGCCTGGTCCCGCCTCCGCAGCAATTGCGGCAAGAGAAAAACAGACGCTTGGCAGAGGCTATGTGGACATTGTAGTTTTCCTTCTAGTCAGCCGTGTACAGACTGCGGAAAGGAAAACTACAATCCCCAGAAGACCGCGGTACTACGGCAGCTGGAGGGGCCATTCCTCGTGCTGTGCTCCCGCCCACCCTCCCGTCCCAGCCGCTCTCCTGGGCGTCTGTAAACACACCCAGACTGTCATGGAGGGGGAGGAGGAGGCGGCGGCGGCGAAGGGAGGCGTTTTGGGCCGCCTCCAGGGTCCGCTCTGCCATTCCTGAACTGGTCCCTCGTCCCCGTGACTGTGGCATCGGGGAAGCGAACTGTTAGGCGAGAGGAGGAGACAGTCAGAACCATATCCCCTTCTTCCCCCGGGGCGGGGGCCGGGCCGGGCCAGGCCGGCGGAGCCGGGGAGGGCAAGGGGAGGGAGCGCCTGGCCAGGCCGGCCTGTCTGCCGAGATGGATGACAGTAAGGTAAGTCCTGTGGTTTGCACGCGCAGCTGCCTCCGCCGCCGCCTCCTGCTTGTCCCTAAGTGCCAGTCCCGCCGCTGAGTCTCAGCTTGGTAGTTCATGGCAACACCCAAGAAACACCTGCCGCAGACATCCCAGCGCCTCCAGTTATTACCCCACGGCACCCAGCTAGGAACTCAGGGAACAGTGGGGCTGCGTTTTCCCAGAAAGGGCCCTCTCTACTCTGAAAAAATTTCACTCCCAGGGCAAGCCTGTTTGTCAGCTTTTGCAGATAGTGCAAACCCTACTCCTCGACTTGCCTACCGAGATGAGTGAAGAAACTACTCTGCTTTTCCTTTTTGCCTTCCTTTGCCTCCCTCCCAGCCTTTCTCCAGTTTGGAGATTTTAACTAGGGCACCCTGAACCAGCCCTATTCCCCTTGACGGCTCCCCTTTCTTCTCTCCGGCTCCCTTACTCAATGCCCCATTCATATAATCAGTTCACTCCCCCTCTGAGCTATTTTCCTGTGGTTGGTTGGAACACTCTGCTAAGCTCCTGTTGCTATTCCCCCAGAGTGTGGAATCTAACCTCTTCTAGAAAGCCTGAGAAAAGTAGTGAATTCTTTCTTGTTAATCTGATTATTTTATATCCCATCACCATCCCCCTTTCCCTGTCCAAATCACTTATCCCTGTGATTATAAGATAACAGACAATGTTCATTTCATTATTGGTTAATTCATACAGTTTTTATCTATGTGTAACCTCTTCTTTATGTCTACCTACATTAGTGTTGTCTAGTTTTATTTCATGAAGGTAGGGACGGTCAGCTTATTGATCATCAGACTTCTAGAATTTGCCAAATTTTGAAGTAGAACTCACTCCTTCCCTATGCTTTCCAGAGGTCTTACTTTCCACAATCTCTGGCGTGCTGCTTTTTTCGTTGGGTACTCTTTCTCCTCCCCCCCTACCCCGCCCACCACCAGGTAACCAGTAACACTTTGCTCCTATCAAGTTTTTGTTTCACCCGTGCTCAGAGAGATGAGAAAGATTGCCAGCTTGTCTGCGCTGCGAATACATTATCTCTTCCTGTTACTGCAGAGGGCTCTGAGAAAAGTGTTCGAGAGAGAGAGAGCCCAAGGCAGTACGCTGGAACAGTTTGCTTGTGAAGTACCAAACCCCTCCTAATAGGAAGTGGTATTTCCAAGACAGAAAGGAGATGTTCTCAGTTTTCCAGAAAAATCAGAAAATAATTTTTTGTAAAAGCCTTTGCTACCTTGATCTTTCAGTGTTAATTTTGAAATTGTCTGAATATTGTATCCATTATCTTCCTCAGGAAATAATATTATGGCTGTTTATGGATGCTAAAATAACATACTGCTCTTTAATTTCCTTAAATCTGAGACTGTCACAGTATATTCTACAGAATTTTCAGTTGTTTCCTGTGAAACATTTAACAGCTTTCTCAACATCTTCAGTAATCTCAAGTCCAGGAAAAATATGCTTATCTATAAAATCACATAGGAGTTATTTCTAAAACTAGCAAACTATAGTTGGGATGGTGGTGGTGTAAAATGTTATTGTTTTGCCTAAAAGATTGAAGTTAAATTTAAGGGGGTAGACTATCCATAGCTTATGTCCTATTGGGTTCATAGGTACGCAAAATGAATTCAGTTTTCATCCTTTATTAAGTCATTGTTTTTATGAGAGAATTTAGAAACGAGTAATTTCTTACATCCCTAATGATTATGGAAAAGAAAATCCATTTCAGATGTCTCTGGATGAATAGTGCCTCTGTGAACACACTACTTTCACTTTGACTGCATGTCACAGTTTTAGATGAGTAATGTTTAAATGCCATGTACAATAAGTCTGCACTGCTTTCGGCAGTCAGTGTGAAACTGCCCTTAAATAAAGCTTTGGCAGCTCCCAGTCCTGCCTTTCTCTGTGCTCTAGTTGTTACAGTTCTACAAAAGCGTATTGCCCTCCTAGTATGTACCTACATACTCACACACAAAACAGACTTTCCCTTCACATAATGTGTGGGTGACAGAGCCTCAGGTTCCTTTTTCTCCTCCATAAGGGAAAGTGAGGGTTGGGCTTGGAAGTAAGGCAACTATGCTGGTGAGAGTACAAACGCTGCCAGTAACACCAGGGCAACAGAAAGGATGAAGTGAACAGAAGCAGCAGTTATAGAGAGACAATATTTGAATTAGGTCAAGAAACAGATGATGCTGATGTTGTGAGGACCTCCCTTTGAAAAGATTCTGTATCCTGAGTTGTTTTCATCAGTGACAATGAATGCGTTTGCCGAGAGCTCTCCACATTCTGCCGTCTAGCTTTCTGGAGTAAAGAGCAGGACAGATTTGAATGGGGGTGCAGCTTTGCCTCCCAAGCTCCTAGCAATGTGCCTGATACAGAGTACTAGTTAATAGTAGTTGAATTAAATTGGAACAGAGTGGCATTAGGGAGAATGCCCTGATGTACCTGGGCTTTATTAATCAGTGTGCTCCGTATACAACCAGAGTAAACAGACAATAGCAAGTGGGAAATATAAAGCAAGAGATAATGGTGGGCATCTAAAAGTGGGGGCTTCCTCAAATAGTGAGTAGCTCTCTGCTACACCAGTTGGAAAGGAACAAATCTTAGGTATTTAACCTTGCCGAACTTCTGTCTGTTAAATGGTCAATACCTTCTTCACAGGCTTTGTTGAGGATTAGAGATATGCATATAAAGCATCAAATACAAAGTCTAACACATAGTAGGCACTCAAAAAATGTTATTAATATATTACCTAGCAGTGAATTCTTTGGTCCTTAACACAGTGTCATAGGTACCTGAGGTGCTCGTTTTAGTAATTCCTAAGTGTGTGCTGTTGCATAACATTTGCAGCCCTTGTTTATACCTCCACTACCCTTGCTCCTAACTATGCCCCCAGATGGAACATGAGCAATGGGATGGGACAGGAAATGAACTTGAACTGTGCCTTTAACTGTCAGATTATGTGAGAAAGGTAGTTTCCCAAACCCAGACCTGTCCTTCGGCCCCTGAAGTTCCCCCCTGTTGTCCCTTAGCCATCCTTTTCTACACTTAGAGTTACCCTCTTTGGGCAGTGCCACAAAGCTCAGACGTTTTCTGCTTTTTCTGTCCTTCATCAATGCTTTTCACAAGACTTTACACAAGAGCCAGCTTATCTACTAACTAAACCTCTGACAGTAGATATTAATGCTTCAGTGTGCCTTCCTTTCCTGTCTAGGTTACATGCACATGCACATTTTAACTAGGGCACCTCTACAGATAGTTTAACCCTAAGGAGTAATTCTAATACTACAGAAACCAGTTGAAATTGAAGTTTAAATAACCTTATTCGGAATGTTTTGCTCTTTGTTTTCAGAAAAGTTTGTTTATTTATTCATTAATTCATCAGACATTTGGTAGAAACCTAATATGTGCCAGGTATTGTGCTAGACAGTAGAGATACAAAGATCAATAAGAATTTATAACTATTCTTAGGAGCTTACATTTCAGTGGGCTAGGCAAACATATAGAAAAATAATTACAATATAGTAAGGTAAGAAATAAGGGCAGTAGAGGCAAAGTGGTTTTGGGGGCATGAAGAATGGATGCCTGTCTGGGTATGTCGGAGATGGGCTCACACAGCAGTAATGAACGTGTAAGGAAGACTAGGAGTCTTCCTGAAAACGGGAAAGAGGAAGTATCCTGTACAAAGCATATATTGCACTGGAAAATAAGTATTTTGGTACAGGCTAGAGCAGGAATTGGCAAATTTTATGTAAAGGGCCAAATAGTAAATATTCGTGGACTATGTGATCTGTGTTGCAGTTAATTCAACTCTTCCATTGTAGCAGGAAAGCATCTTGAAGAATGTAATGAATGGCTGTGGCTGTGTTTCAATGAAACTTTATTTACCAGAACAGGCAACAGGCTGGCTTTGGCTTGCCAGCAGGGCTGTAGGTCACTGACCCCTGAGCTAGAGCATAAGGCACAAGTATA